AAAGCAGCAGCACGCAGGGAGGGAGGGAGGGAGGGGGGTCATACAGCTGCTGAGTCAGCTCACTCAGGACAAGCCAGATTCCAGCGCACAAAAGCGCTCCTGGGAGAGCACGCACACACTTACCTCTTCCAGTGTTTCAAACATTTGCCCTGTCCTTTTTGTCCCTTATGTGTAGGTAACGGGATCCACTCCACAGTCTCCGAGAGCACCTCCCCGGTCATCTCCTCTCCTCCCAGAAGGCAGCACTCCATCTCTTACCCCCATCATGGCAAGACCAGGAAAGGGAGCCGGGCGAGCTCCATCGGCTACACCGCCTTCTCGCCCAGGCCGTCACTTTCTCGCCACTCCAGCATCGCCACCAATCCGCCCCTGGACCGGACCAAAGTTAAAGACTACCTCCTCCTGTCCGTGCTGGCCTGCTTCTGCCCCGTCTGGCCAATCAACATCGTGGGATTTGTCTACTCCATCATGGTAAGAACATATTTCCCAGCAGCAGTTCTATAAAGCGACTTTGTTTACAGTCTTTTTTTAATATGTAACGCAAACTAACAGTTGCTTCAATCTCCTCCTTCAGTCTAAGAACAGTCTCGAGCAGGGAAACCTGGATGGTGCTGTGCGTCTGGGACGCGTGGCCAAGATGCTCTCCGTGGTGTCACTAGTAGGAGGGACGATCATTATCATCGCCTGCATTGTCAACCTGGCCAGTGAGTGTCCCAAATCTGACCTTTAAACTTTAACCTCACCCTTTATACCCCCTGTGTAGTCCCCTGAACTCCTCTTTTTGTTTTTCTTAAATCCTGATCCTCCTGGCCCCAAAACCTCCTACTGTCACTGTGTATTCCATCACAATATGATATTTATCCCTGTTAGTATAAATGAGACTGTAATCACTGATATTATTATTAGCATCTATGTTTGCATAATATTGCACTAGTTACAAGGCCTGCACAAGTCTTTACACACTGCAGCACTTTAGCCTTTGGAACTATGTCAATGCTACACAGAGATCAGAACATATTAATCACATTTGCATCAGCCAAATCTACATTTTATGACATGTTTTTCCATTTGCACGGGTGGCCTCCAGCCTCCAGCTGTAACTGACTGCATGCCTCAGATTGCTGTGTGTTTATCTGTAGAGTGATATGTGTAGTCTGCTGTCTATTGTACGCTTTGCCCTGTTTGTTTGTATAAAATGTCTTGTTGCCCCTGTACCATATGTATACTTAAATATATATAATGTATGTCAGTGTGTGAGATGTTGAAATGCTCACAAGACAAATAATTGTACATTTATTGTACTTGGCAAATAAAGGGATTCTGATAACAGATCAGTGATTATTACTTATTAGTGACTTGTAAAAAGGAAGGGACTAGAATTTGTCTTTTGCAGTACTGTATATTTAAATATAAGCACGAAGGGTCAGTCAGTTAAATGATTATTTGCCTTTTCACGTCAGTTCAATCTGTCATCTGTATTTTGTTTGTGAATGCGCACAGTTGCAGCCTGTTGGGTCTCATTAAGCCAAGAGATGTCCTAATTAACTTAATGACTGGAGGAGTAATTGAAGTTGAGTTTAAGGGCTCTGGGACTCAACAATCCTTGTTTTTCTCATTATATAACTGTCCTCTGTGGTCTGTGAAAGCTTATACATCCATATTAAGATGCAGCAATATATAGCTCTTCAACTAATACGCTTCCTTTTCTTTTTTTAGTAAATGTGAAAACCTGAGTTTCATCCAAGGATGAAACTGGATAAGGCAACTGACCGTCTGGCCCTCACCTGCACCACCATCTTTACCGCCTAGTCATTACCTGGATGTGTGACAAATATGCACCCGATATACAGTGCTTACTTATATTTCTGTAATCTATATAAATCCCTTTTGCTAATGGAAGAAAATAAAATATGCAAATTATGCTGCTCTTGAGTCTGGGGGACGGGGGGGGTGGAGAAGGGAGTAGACAGTCTAATCAGTCCTTTCGTATTCTGGTCAACACATTCAGAACGATTCTTGAGACAAGACACAAACTCTTTGAGAATCCCATCATCGCTCCGGCAGAACTGACTCACACAAGGTGGACTAGAAAATGAGAGGCCAGTGGAGGTGGTAACAGAACGTGAAACGGGCAGGATTGCCTCCCAACTTCAGCGCCACACTGCAAGTCCCAACAAAATGTCCGCCAAGTCCATCCTTCTCTGCACAGACGACAGGACAGCATCAGAGTTTCAGCTTGCCGTTAAATCCCCCTCGGATACGTGGAGAGGCTCTGGGATTTGTGTTGCTCTTGAATCACAGAGCCGAAAATTCACCCAATTCCCTCACGGACAAGAAACACTTTCAATCACTGTATGTCCTCTTCGTGTCAGACTCTCCTCTGTGTGTTTCTCGTGACTTCCTTCCATACATCTTGTGTTTGAGAGTGAGTGTACGGGTGAAAAGAGGATGAAAAAGAGGCTTACCAAGGACTAGCTATGGGTGCTAAAATGGAAGGGATTATGGAAAGTCTCACACAGATGGTACAGTCATCACTGCAAGGAAAAATATGTGCCAAAAAAAGAATTTAGAGGGAAAGTTTCTTGCTTTGTAAAGACCCAACTCTGATCACAGAATTGCTGTTGTAGAGAGGAACATCAAAAGTGTTAATACTCTGCTGCACCTTTACTGTATATCTGCTCGACACCACTGACCACTGTGAGCGGGGAAAAAGGGTACATGTTCACAAAAACCCCCACTGTAGCAAGGTAGTCAAAACATTCATTGTACAATGAAGCTCATAATGCTACGTCACCTATAACCTATCTTTTGATAATATTTGTAAAACATCCTTTTGAAACAGAAAAAAAAGATTTCGTAATGTGATTCTCTTGAAGTGCTGGGCCGCAGTTGACAGATGGTGGTAGTATTGTATGCATATGGGCGTCACTATTTGGTTAACAAATTAAATAGCTTGTGATTGCAGTCAAAGTTGTGGCTGCAGCCTCAGTCTGCATCCACTTGGAGCGTGTGCTTTCAAACCAGACAGATTGTGGCCTTTCTGTCCCATAAAACAGCAAAGAACACCTTAATATATGCCCCATTTGTTGTCATACACAGACGGATGCTGTCTTTTGATGGCTAATTTGTAAAACTGATAATGCATCATAAAAGATATGATTTTTTAAATTTATTATTATTATTATATCTCCTGCGTATCCTTAACTAACCTCTAATCTTTATCTACCTGTAATTTCTCACTGTGATCTGAAACGATTGGGTTTCATCAAGAATGGACGGATCGAACTCTCCTTATTTACTATAGCCTGGATTTTGAATCATGTACAGAAACACCACAATTTCTCATCATTCACTCCTGCCGGCAATTTTCTGTAACGATTAATATGGCATTTTTTGTTAGTACTTGATCTGTAAATTTAATTGTAATCAACAGTCGATGTATTCTGCAGATATAAATCTCAATATTGTGATAATTCTCTAGTTGATATGAGTTAGCATTAAGTAGTTACGATCTAACGTAGGCACAGAAACTGTCGACTAGCCTCCTGACAGTCATTGTATTACCACCAGGCTTCTATAATCTTTGTGGTTATTGGCATGTTGTGGATTTTTATTAATGTATGATGATAGAAGTTGAAAATTACAACGATAAGCTGGCACTTGGAATATTATACTTCTGCAGCACATTCATAATAAAGACACAATGCATGCAACATGTTTTCATTGTCATTTTGAAGAGATAAAGAGCAGCAATGGAGATTAAAGAGATTCTGGTTTTGTGGGAGAGAATGAGTGTCAATAGTGAGAGATATCCGGAGAGCTTACTACGTAACTGAGGAGAGATTGGTTTTAGCATTTAGCAGATGAGAGCAAAACAAATAAATAAATACTGGGAAGTATTACTATAGTTGTCCGTAATGTGTAAGCTGCTGGGATTGAAAGTGCATGCAGTTGTCAGGCAATGAAGCGGAGACAGCAGGAAGAGCATAATGCTGAAGGGAGAGGCCGAGCCGAGGAAATGCACTGTATGATTGGCTGTAATGAGAACTAAAGTCTCTGATGTCTTCCAACAAAGCAAAATATCCCTCATTATTCTCTCTGAGGTTTTTTTTTAAACCCTTCAAGAAGCTACAACTATTGGCCTTTTCACAGCAGCCAGTTTGACATTAAGTAGTAGGGTAAACACAGGTGTTACCAATGATACTAATTCAGTTTCTATTGTGCATGTTGGCTCACTGGAAAGGCTCTGCTAAACTAAATGTAGAAGAGAAAGATCATTAATTAGTATCACTGGCAACACCTGTGTTTACCCTACTACTTCACGTCAGAATGGCTGCTGTGAAAAAGGTATATTATCAGCCTTTATAACAAGGACAGTTTCTTTTGGAATACCAAAAAGAAAAGGAAAAATATGTTTTTTTATAGACTTTGGAATCCAAACTAAACATTAAAGGCTGTTCTGCACTGCAATGGCTAAATGATACATTAACAATATAATAACATTTTTAAACTAGTGGTGCAATAATTAGTTAATCGTTTGAGGTTTTTTAAAGACTCAAAACTAAAAGTCTACAGCCATGCTAGAAGTGCTTTGACGCTTTACTTAGACACAGCAGCACTTTGTGCTAAATGCTAACATCAGCATGCTCACGGTCACAATGTTAAAATGTTGATGTTTGACAGGTTTGCCAGGTTCACCATTTTTGTTTAGTGAGTTAGCATGCTAACATTTGTTAATTAGTACTAAACACTGTGCTAATTAACTGATGGGAATGTCATTGGTTTGCAGGTATTTGGTCATAAAACCAAAGCCTTGGACAGATTGACATTTATCTGATGATGGCGCTACATGGCTAAGAATGGGATAAATTCGCTTTCTGATTTCCTCATCTATCTTGGTGTTTTGACTGTTGGTCGGAGAAATAAAATATTTGGAAATGTCACCTTGACCTCTAGGAAATTGTGATGGACACTTTTTTTCCATTTTCTGATGTTTTATAGACCAAATTAGTCAGTTATGAAAATAATCATTGAATCACAAATGCAATGCTGTGTGCTGGGACATATGTTTAACTATGTTACATGGAAACAATTATGAAGGTAACGTCATGGGCTTGATAAAGGATAAAGAGATGTCTAGCTTTAGGGAAGTGAGTGCTCTGTTGTAATAATAAACATAAAATACTGTACATAAAATAAATAAACTATATGACACCATTCTTAAAACAAAATGTGTTTGTAAGGACACTTCTAGAGAAAAAATAACTACAGAAGCAGAAATATAACAGCACTGACAACATCTGACAACAGCAAATTCCCACTCGCCAATGTTAACATTCTGACAACGAAAGGTATTTTTCTTTGCACTCAGCTAATTTAACAGTTGCTATACAGTAGACTACAGCTCGGACGGAGCATCAGCATATCAGACAGGGTCACTTCCAGATGCAGTAAGTGGGTCAGGGATTATCCAGCTGGGTCACATAAACAGGAGGCTGTGATCAACTTGGCAGCGTTTGGATGCATCATGATCATCCTGTCAGTCCGCATAGCAAATAACAGCATAATGAGATACACTGACCTGTGGCGATGCTGTTCTATTAGTGCCCGCTTAATTTGGAAAGAGAACTAGGGCTGGGAGAAAATCATTATGAGTGGGAATTAATGCTTGGATGGATTGTTGTGGATTTTCTAATTGGAGAGAGGAATTAGTTGTTACTGAAACTCCACATCCAAGAATGAGTCTGAATTAAAACTCAACACTTTATTCAGTAACAGCTGCCTGGTAAACACAGTAAACACAGTTACCAGTCGACCATCAGAGACTTTTTCCACGTATGAAACCCACTTTCTATGAGGGCTGATTGTTTTTATTAAAGTTTGTTGTCATGAACTCTAGTATTTCACAGCATACATCTCAACATTGTCACGGCCCCTCCACCTGGGCACTAGGAGTCCCTGTTTTGTGCTGCAGGGGTTTCGTCCTTGATGGTTGCATGAGCTACACCTGGTCCCTGCTCTGCCCTAAATACCTCCCACTCTGCAGTCTCTCTCTCTCTGGGGAGATCTCCTCTCCCACTGCAGGTGTGGCAACAGCATGGGGTTTTATATGTTTTGTTCTCCACTGCCATGCATTTATGCATCTACTGATTGCTACACGTTGTATTGTTTGAGTGATTGTAATGTTTTTATAAATGCTTTTCTGCGCAGTCTTCGTCGTTGTCTCCCTACTTTGTTAAAGTCTTTGAGCAGGGCTGTGGCAATGTGTTATAGCAGAAAAAAGCACCGGTGTAACTAATAGCTTTAACAACAAGTGCACTCTGTCTAGCTGCTTCAGTCCCAACACTGTGGTATTTTTAGAGCTTTTCTAAGAGGCATAATTAATATTTTCCTTGCTTTTGCTGCTATGACAAATACAAATCTTTGTCCAGTTGTGTACTTAACTGTTGACTGGTCTCTTCCACAGCAGACATTTTGATTCATCATAGCAGCTAAAGCACATACAGTATGTCACTAATATCATTAACAATAGCTCTTTTCTATTTAAAGGTCCAGTGTTTAATATTTTGGACGATCTATTGCCAGAAATATGATCAAATATTCATAACTATGGTTTCATTAGTGTATACTCACCTGAAAATGGGAATCCTTATGTTAATGTTCTTAGAATGAGACTTTTATATCCTTTTATATCTACATATGCTGTGGGTCACCTTCCATGGAGGCCACCATGTTGAACCGGCATGTTTCTACAGTAGCCCAGAACGAACAAAGTTAACACTGGCTCTACATAGGGCTGTTCGTGTTTTTCAGACCGTAGTCTGTCCCTCGGGCTTGGAAGGGGATGCTGAAGCAAGGGAGTTGCACCTGGCAACTATACAGCTAGATGCCATTAAATCCTACACACTGGACCTTTGACCCAGCATGGACAATACCAGGACCCTGAAACTGAAGCAGCCAAATGGAATTGACCCTTCCTAAGCCCCGCCCCATTTTGTTCTGTGCTCCAGTAACAGTCGAGCAAACTTCAGTCAACTTTCTCCTTTCATGTACCTAGATATGCTATGTGCTAGGCTCGTCTTTGAAAAGACAACCTAATTTTGAAGATGGTTAAAAGATCAAAGCGACATACAGTCAATCTTAAGTTAGCTAAGTTAGCTAGCATGATGTGAGGTCAGTTGCGAAAGGTAATTGCAGCATATATGTTATGTAATGTATATGCTGTTATTATAAGGAACAGCTGTGATGTTAGTCCACATAGCTGATGAAAGCTGAGCAGAATAAAATGCACTAATTTCTTCGTCTTATTTAACCTTTATTCAACTAGGAAGTCTCTTAAGATATTTTATATTTTACAGTAGGCCAATTGGGCCACCTAAAGTTATCTTTAAAGTCACATTAAAATTATATTTAACATGAGAGACTATAAAAACTGTTACAATCTTCAGAAAATATGTTTAGAATGTGGTGTTTGAATGCCTGACATGAAGGCAGTTTGTCCAAATCAAGCTTATCTCCTAAATTACTTACTAATACTAATAATAATAATAATAATAATAATAATAATAATAACAATAAATAATTAAGTTGAGTCTGTGTACAAAAAAGCAGCTTCTGGAACTTCACAATGAGGTAATTACACCTTCTGAACAGATAATTGTGACTAAAATTCCTCACTAATAAGCTTTTGAACAAAGGGTGACTTAGGTAATTTAGGTAATACATGTAATTCTCCTCATGAATCTACTTATAATTAGTACTGGGTTATAATTGAGTACCTTTATCTGCATGAAGCTTAATTGAAATGTGATGTGAGCTTCAGGCTCATATCTGGCCCCTTATTACTGTGCAGCCCTACTGCCACACTTCAGCATCCTCTGCTAGCTGCTAACTCTTCATCACAATTCTGGCTAGGTGGCAGTAATGTGCTCATTATTGGCTCTTTAATGAAAACTACTCATCATCACAGCATGCATTCATGGCTCTGTCCCTCTGTGGTGAAATATCACTATAATATTTCTATCAAGGCTTTTAGTTTGACTGCAGGATCCAAGAGGGACTTCATATTGTGACGTCTTCATTCCTCTTTTTCACAGCAGCAGCCTTTTATACACTGACTTGTTTATTGTGCTGTCAGTTTTTATTGTTATGAGATGACCATGCAAAATTCACATGCTTAATTTTAATATTCACCAACAATAGCTTGATAATATGGGCTGAAATAAAGAGATTTTGTTTATGAATGTTCAAAATCAAAACCATTTCAGAGCATCAGACAGCCAGATGGTTGGTGCTGAAATTCACTATTCTGTGACGTGGTGAGCTACCAGTAGCTCTCATCACTATCCATTATGTGTTTTCTCACTCAGCGGTACTGCTGGCACTTGTCCCCACAGAGAGGACACAGCTTGGGTTTAAATAAATGTTTGTGGTTTTCACAGAAATCTGCTAAACCACTGGATTTTAGATTAATCCCTCCCTGAGCAACTACATCAGAGTCTGTCTGCATCACTAGAAAGTTTTTTGTATGATGGAATTTCCTTTATCTTTCTTTAAGGCCACCGCATGGAGTCTTATTTTGATAGAGCCTTCCTTCTTATGGATGTTATTGCACCTTATGACACTGTTAATCATTTGAATTTAACCATCTTTATCTCTTATCTCTGGTATTGTTTGAGATGCAGATCAACCCTCAGAAAGGTTGAAAAATGAATGTTTACTGTCCTCAAATGTCCCCTCCAATTTTTCGTCACTCTAATCTCAGTTTAGATCTGCAGCCTCCTAAGATTAGATCTTTTCTTTATCTGCAATGTTTTTATTGCATCTTGACCTGGACTATTGCAATGTTGTGAAGTCATTTTGAAAGAGTTTGGGAATACAGATTATATAATACAAAACGCCACAGACTTCCCATAAGTTTCAGTGTGTGTAACCTCAGTTGTCCTCTCTTCATTTGATATGTGTGGGCTTCTGAATATCTCCATGTACTTGTATTAGTATTAGTGGTATCACAGTGTCTGTCCAGTGACAGGATCTGCAGACATCTATGGCGTTTGTCAGTCTGTCCAAGAGCACAGGGAGGAACAAATAGTGACTAAGATGAAACAGAAGTAGCTGTCTCTGATTACACAAAGAGCTTCTTTCCCACTCAGGATACATGAGAAAATGCACAATAATCAGAAACTTTACAGCTGCAAAGAGCTTCATGTGTTGTTCTTCTATTTAAAATCTAGACTGAGTCTGACATCCATGACTCTGCTTCTGACTCAGACACTCGGTCAGCCGTCACGGTCAGCCTCACAGCAAGATGCTCTATACATGATCTAGGACACTGAGCAGCAGTGTGTTTATCAAAAACATCCTGATGTCCCAATGCTGACCTCTGACCTTCCTCCAAATGGAGTAAGTAAAGTAAAGTTAGTTAGTAAAACTTTGACAGATGTTGCGGAAAGCAACAGAATATTAGAGGGCGGTGATAAGAAATGAATAAACAGCTGAAGAAGTCAATTTAGCTTGATTCATTTGACAGAATTATCAAATTAATAAATATAGCAGCAGATAGACGGATAGATTTTGTGTCTGATTTTAGATGTTTTGCATTTGACATCAGCCTTTGACCAGCAAACTATATATAGATTTTTTATATATCTTTTGGACACTCAAATTTTGTATCTGTCGCATTAATCCAGTTTTTGAAATTGCACCACTTAAATTCAAGATATTCCAGTCCTATAAATTCAGTGCCAGTTACATTTCAACATGAAGTATTAAGTAGAGATTTAAATTGCGGCTATTATTGGTCTCCATAGGCCTAGAATGAGAGTTTATTTTAATCTAACCAATCACAGGCAATCATAGGTTTGATGTGTCTTTACAGAAGAGTGTAAAGTGTTAAACCAACACTGATGCTTGTGTTGATATTATTTTACCTGTGGTCTGTGCCTCTGTGCTCCTGCTGGATCACTCGTGCTCACATTAGTCAGAGAAGAGGCTGCAGTTGCAGGTCCTGAACGCTAGGTGGCAGTATTGGCTTTATTAGATTGCCACTGAGCTGTAAACATCAGATTCAAAGAGGCCACTTTACAACAACGGAGCAAATATAATAAAAAATTGAGGGATGCGCACAGTAAATTCAATACGAATGTTTTATGAAAAAGAAAGAAACAATCATGCACACTTTCCAAAAGACAAAACATCCAAAGCAAGTGAAACACAATATATATTTACATATGAACACCACTGGTAGTTTCAGCATGCCTCTTTTACCACGAGAGACCGAGCACAGATAAAACCTGCAGCTTGGTTAATGCAATCCATAGTAAAGCAGCAGCCATGGAGTTATCAGACAACACTGGGCTCTATACACCATTCATATTTTAATAACCGACAAAGGCTGATGATTTTAGTTACTGTGACCATGCACAGCTCTCCACAAAATAATCTGCTCTGAAACCTTTCTGTTAATTACGTCTCTGTTCTCTTCAATACAAATTAGGATCATGAAGCAAAATTAGGTCCATCATCGTGTCACTGACAAGAAACTGACACAGTAATATTAGAGCTGACACATTAAACAACTGTGAACAAAAACTGTTACCCTTGAATTAAATAAAAAAAATCTCTTCTCAGTTAATCAGAGCAACACACCTCAGGAGAATTGGGAACAACACGCTGATGAATATTTCATCCTGCAGCAGAGCCTAGCACATATTTGTCTTTTAGTTTGCTCCATCAACACCAAACATGCAAGATTACTGACACAAACCATCAACATGGAAGAACCAATTATCTTATTAGGTCGTGCTGTCTGCAGGCAATCCAGAGGTGATCAGATCAATAGATACAAAACATCTGACAGCATTAAGACCACTTGGAAATCTTCGGAAGCATTAGGCATAACATTATTGCGAGGGAGAGGTATGTGCGCTGTGAGACATAACGGTGGGGTTTTAATGTCAGCAGTTAATGAAAATAACAGGCCGAGTGTAGTGAGAGCAAGCAAACCTGACGTGAGGGATGAACTGCAGAATAATTCAACTTTCTCCCTCATTATATTTTCTTTTGCATGATTTCAATTTTTCTTGTTGATTGATATCTGATCAGTTTGGAGCAGCGCAGAGGAGCATTTAGATTGACATTAAACCCACAAAAGGGACACGGATCCCTATGAATATGATTATGAAAATTCTCGTACTGTCAGCTTTGTGGTGTGGACGGTTTCACAGATTTGCATCAGGTCTATTTAGATCCAAGATTAGAGTATTGATCTCTGAATGTGACCCTTTTGGGTGTGTTGTTACGAATTATGGTCTTATATGACACTTATGACACAAAGTAAGTAGGATATGAATCCTTCATAGTCATGCAGAAAATCCTCAGAGCATGCGATGAGTTGTCTCTCATCCCAAGTCTTCAGGTCAGTCTCTCCAGTGTCAGTACAGTGGAAGAGGATCAGTTCATTCCTGCAGTGTGGATCCAGGCAGCTCGTTGGTCAGTGTATGCCAGCGCTCCACCTTCTTGCCCTTGTTCTTCAGACAGTCTATCCAGTGCTGCAGAGCGTCTCCCTGTGAGTGGCACCCTAAGGACACACCCCCTAAGCAGCGCAAAGACAAGAAAGAAACTCATGTGACTTACTTTTGAATATGTTGTGCACTGTAAAAAGAGTAGGCGTAATTAGCTGTAGCTTCAACCCACACCATTTTATAGAACATCTTCTATGTTTATTAGGGTTGTTTTGTTTTATGATTTATTGTTTTATTAGCAGTTATTGTATACTTTCTATGTTCTTCTTTTCCATATTTTTTTGTGCAATAACTTACAGACAGAAGTCAATTACAGTTTTAAAAAAGAAATTGAGGGCTATAACCCAAAGAGCTGAACATTTTATCTTATCTATAGCAAAAGCAAAAATCTACTTAAATATATGAGTTTCAATACAAAATAAAACTTAATAACGTTTTTCCACATTCATTTCTTTCTTTCTAAGGACACAATAAGTCTAATTTGACCACCAGAGAGCTGAAGTGTTGAAGAGTGCTACAATGTCCATACTTAATTAAATTTCTACCTGAGAGATGAATTGTGAGTAGCCTTTTTAAAGTGTAACAATAAAAGGGACTAAAAGAAGATTAGTATTGCTTTATGACTTCAGATCAAAGTTTGATCAGTCCGAGAGGGAAAAGTGTCACTGACTGACTGTGAATGGCTCCACAGTTCCACTTTCATGTATTCCTGGGTATTTACTAATACTTTCATTCTTTATCGAGTTCAACTGTTCTGTTCAACTACTTGTCAACAAATCCCATGAAAAGACCAAAATCAAGTATTTTCTGTTTAACCAAAGCCTGATACAACTTATTCCTCCGTGCCACACTGTAGTTTATTTTGAGTAGATGCTAGAAATTCTCACTTCTCGTTTTCATAGACAACTGAAAATAGTCCCCAAAAAGTAAAGTAAAGTTTGCAAAAAACTGAAATTACTGAGCCCTTTTAAAAAGAATTATTCAGTATAAACAAGTGGGCTTGTTGCTATGAATACAGATGGGAAAGTCTGAAAGTATTGAGAGACGGACTAAAAAAACACACTGTGGTTTTGGTCTTTTCGTAGAAGATTTGTTGAAAATTTAAAAAAACAGACTTAACCTTTGCCTACTGTAAGAAACAAAAATCTTGACTTTTAAAGGTCCAGTGTGAAGTAGTGTAGTGGCAGACACCCGCCCCCCTTCCAAATGTGAAAGTAGTTTTTCCTTCACATTTGGAAGCAGTGGTTGCAAAATGCATTAAAAATGCAAACAGCTCTATAGTCTGTGTTTTATTTATCCCTTGTAGGCTACTGTAGAAACATGGCAGACCCTGTAGAAGAGGAGCTGTTCCCTTTGTAGACACAAACGTTTCATTCTAAGGTAACAAAAACACAACAATTCTTATTTTCAGGTGATTACACACTAATGAAAACATATGTGTGTATATTATATTCAATTTCTG